CAGATTGACTGTTCAGTTCTGACAAATATTTGCACAATGGGGATACCCTCACATAGACCTATTCGCTACCAGAACAAACAAAAAAAAATGTCCACTTTATTGCTCCAGGACAGGCATGAGAAAGCACTCACGAGGAGACGCTCTTATCCTCAAGTGGTATGACCACCTACTCTATGCATTCCCTCCCTTCTCCTCCTCAACAGAGTACTCATCAAAATATAAAAGGACAAAGTGAGGGTTATCCTAACAGTACCTTGCTGGCCCCGGCAGCCGTGGTTTCGCCTCCTGAGCAGAATGACCCTACATCTCCTGATCACACTCACATGCAACCTGAGCATACTATTTCAATTAAGAACCAAAGCTCCTCACTCGCAATTTCTTCTTCTTCTTCTCAAAGCATGGTACCTCAGTAGTCCACAGGTGTAGAATTACAATGTTCAGAGCAGGTATGTGACATGCTTCTTCACAGCAGGGCCCCTGCAATTTGGAAGACGTACACTAACAAATGGTCTCGTTTTGTACATTGGGCTGCTTCCCATAACATATCACTGGAGAATGCCCTCCTACCTACAATCCTTGATTACTTACTGCATCTTAAGCAATCCCACCTTTCCATGAGTTCAATTAGAGTATATCTCACAGCCATAACAATGTTCCATATGACTGTCGATGACACCATGGTCTTCATGCATCCCACAACCAAGCACTTCCTTCAAGGCCTACACGCACTATATCCTAATTCTACTGCCTCACAGGAACCATCGGACCTACATCGGGTACTAACCACGCTCACAAAACCTCCATTCGAACCTAAGGCCCCATGCCCCCTTCTTCACTTAATGCTCAAAACGACTTTCCTAGTTGCAATAACGTCAGCATGTCAGGTAGGAGAAATGGCTGCCCTACTGGCAAATCCACTGTTCAACATCTTTTTGTAAGGACAGAGTCTCTCTATGGACACATCCAAAGATTTTACCCAAGGTAAGGTCCGCCTTTCACCTTAATCAAACAATATACTTACCTGTATTTTTTCCTAAGCCTCATGCCAACACCTTTGAGGCACAGATGCATACGCTTGATATCCGCAGGGCATTCTTCTTCTGCCTCCACAGAACAAAGCCCTTTAGGTCATCCTCACAACTCTTTGTCTCCATTACAGACCATAACAAGGCATCAGGTATCAACATCATTGGATCTCTGACTGCATCACAAAGTGCTACAATCTTAATCATTTACCATCACTTACCTCAGTGTGTGCATATTCCATGAGAGCCGTCGCCGTTTCACTGAGAAGAGTTCCCATCAACGACATATATGCTGCTGCTACGTGGACATCAGAACAAACCTTTACCAGACACTATGCATTTTCTACTGGTCCTCTTCACCTTACAAGATTAGCAAAGGCAATACTAAAGACAGCTTACCGTCCTGATCCAAAGTCCCTATCTTCATAAGACAAATTGTTTTGCAGTCATTTGCTTTGGAGAACTCCCGGGGACGTGTGTCTCTCGAAGAGAAGGTTATTCGTGTTGGCTGTAACTGACGTTCTTCGAGATGAGGGTGCTCCACTACCCTCCATACTCCCCTCTATTTCGGACCAAGGGAAAAAAAATCTTTTCCACCAGGACAGGTTCTGAATACAGAAGGAATTGAAGGGAGGGTGGCCATACATATGCAATAGTATTGGACAGTGTCACGTGCCTTGTGCAGTCCCAATGCACTGCTAGGAAGAATCTGCTCTGAGGCACTGGGACACGCTTACACCTGTAGAGCACCCCCAGAGACGTCAGTTACAGCTAAGGTGAGTAACCTACTCTTCCCCAAACCTGCCTCACACTTTACCTCTTGACCATCATGCTCACCATAAAACCATCTCTACATCCAATTGCCCTCCCTGTCAGATTTCCCCTCTGTATAGGCATACATCTTTTCACTTACCTCCTGAACCTGGCTTGTCTGCCATTAAAGGATTTTTTTCTTCTCTCTCCTGAATTCTCTCTCCTGACAGGAATTCAGGTATCCCGAGAGGCATGTTTTCCTTCTTCCAGCCAAGCTGCCCTCTTGGCCTATCGGACCACAGCTGTGCCATTTGGTTATTTTAAAATGGACCAATATCCACCTTTGACTCACTCATTTTATTAAACATACCTCTACCATGTGAAGGCCAAAGATGGGGAATTTTACTGTCAGAGGCTTTCATAGACACCAGCCTTTTAAATAGGAATTTTATATGTTTTGGAAGCTCACTCCCAACTCCACCCTGACCAGAACAATATTGACAATATTCAGTAACTGAAACAGAGGTCTTGAAATAATCTTGAGGTGGACCTATGGCCTATCTCAAAGGGATCCCTTTACTCATGTCACAGACCATGTACCACTGCAGTGTGTACCTGCTGTAAAAGGTACAAAACCACTGTGCAGTGATATCTGCCCACCAACCGTAAGACTTTGAGATGTAACATTGGTCTGAGAGAGTTCATGAAATATTGATTTCTTTTTCTGGGTAAGAAGGGAGTCAAGCTTGTCTGACAATATCACAAGTCCTGTTTTAATAGGGAGGATGTGAGAGTGGGGTTTCTGTGGATAAATCTCTATAACATTTCCATATAACCATATATCATTCTCATATATGGATAAATCTCTAACATTTCCATATAACCATGTATCATTCTCATATAACCTTGTATTAAAAAAAACTTTGTAAGTCCTTTTATCTGTCTGTCTGTCTCTTTGTGTTAAGCTTTCTTATAGAATCCCTTGTATTAAGAGAAACCTTGTATTTAGTCTTTTCCATAGAAACTGTGTATCAAGCCCTTTGTTATAGGCCTTAGGAATAGTTAAGGTAAAGAAAAATGTCTTTTTCTAGGAATAGAATAGATCTCTCCCCTTTCATTGATTGCCCTTTTGAAATAATGAGGTGTGAATGGAGAAGGCTTGAAAGGGTGAGTACCTTCAACAGCAGTTGCAAGGGTGGACAGGAGCAGGGAGCCAGATCTGAAGACAGTAAGACTTGTGAAGTGAGGTCATTGAAAAGAAGATTGGACATATAAATGGCCTTGGGAGGCAAGCAGCAAGTACGTGCCCTTGGAAGGACCCTTTTGAAGCAGCATTAAAAAAAGCGCCACAAATATCTCACTGCATATGTAGGTGATGATTAACTGGCCTCATGAGAGGGATAAATATGAGGCATCTTGCAGGGGGACCCTGGGTTTTCATCTTATCAACATGGGAGCATCGATATGGATTGGCAGAAGCCCGGCTCCAGGCCTCCCCCACCTAACTCACCTGGCCACTGCAGTTAGGGGGAGCAATTATTGGTAACAACAAGAAGACGGGTTTTGTGTGTGTGTGTGTGTGTGTGTGTGTGTGTGTGTGTGCGCGCGCGCTATATTATATGCATATGATAAGTGTTGACTACTGTATGTGTGTATTACCAATAAATGTGGTATTTTGCCTTTTCCCCCGAAAGGATCCCGTGCAATACTTTTAAGTACAGCATTTCTATATGCCACCCCAGTCAGGTGAGGATTAATGAACTGCTGTAAGCTCATGCAGCCTTCTCCCTGCATGCCTGCAAGCCATTTGAGGCCTGGAAGGATTTAAAAAAGGAAAATTCAGCTTGATTAGCCAGCTGATACACTTTAAAACCCCAGTTCCCAAAGAAAGGCTAATCTGGGAACTCAACTGCTCACACAGCATTGTCCATCTAAATCACTTAAAAAGAATGTGGGCCAGGCCCCAAGCAGTTATTTTAAAACACATACAGATGACTCGTCTGATGGCTTTGAACTAGACTGCAACTGGCCAAAGTCCCTTTGAAGGAAGGGAGCCTTGTCACCAGTTTCCAGGGTGTTATTTCCCTTCTGGGACCTTCAGTAAGTAGCATCAGAAAAAATAGACTTTCATGAGACTTATCTGTGTGTTCCACACTTGGACCTGTAAATGCAGATCCCATCACACCTTTGTGGAGTTCTGTGGAGGACCATGCTCAAAATGCTAGCTCTGAAACAGTCTGCATGACTTAACACTTAGATAGGGGCCTCCCTGAAGCGATGGAAACAGATATTATTACTATTTCTGAAGGGAAAAGACCTGTTGCAGGGATAGCAATGTTTAAACATGGGATTTGGGGTGTAACATAAGCAGAAATCTGCTTGGTACCAGTGAGGCAAGTGTTTGATGACTAATTGCTGTTTAGCTAGAACGCCAAACAAGGTTACTGAGGTGAACAAGGAAGACCTGACTCTGAGGCAGATGAAAAAGGGGAAAAGAAGAGAGCCTCAAAATACTAAGCATATACAAGAAAAAAGGAATAACAAAATTGAACCAACTAATCTAACCTGGGTAAGAATAATACTAGATTAGCAAAGCTAACCAGTTGACATCACAATGTTCCATCTCAGGTTATAGGCACTTGTGAAGGCAATGGAGCAGCAACATGACTGCCCTTCCCTATTTGCCCTCAGATTAGAGCACAAGGATCTGCTAGATCACATGGCAGCTTATACATTTATTAAACCCCACACCAGATTGCATTCAGGTTGCTCCCAGTCCTCACTAAGATGGTCTGTGTAACCAATAATACAACTTAACCAAGAGGGTATCTATCCTATAGAACGCTCTTGGTGGAAGGAGACTCAAAGTCTTTGTGGGGACCACATTTGTGCATCCCCATAACAGGAGCATTACTACCAATGCTGCATTGCTAAGGTAGGAAACTCAATTCCAGGGCCTTACAGCTCAATGCAGGTGCACTCCATGATACTGGAAGAAAAAAATGTTTTTATGGAATTGTGTGCCTAGTATAAATGTAAATATGTAGAGTTAATTTATTTTGTACGTAATTATATTGATATGTTGTAAAATATTTTGTTCTAACAAGAATAGAGGAAAAGTTAGCAAGTTTTTTTTATCTTTTACATTGTAGTGCCTATCTTAATCATTGTAGTGATTCTTATGTTAAATCATGTTTTTGAGGGTTTTTTGTTTTTATCTAGGCCAGTTATCAGAAGCAGTACCATGCTGGAATGCTTAACCAAGAAGCTGCCCAAACATTAATAGGTGCAGCAGAAAGCTATGTTGATATTAAAGGAAAGTAAGTGCTTCATTTGCTTTAATTTTTAAAATTGAAATTAGTTGGATATCATACAGTATGGATGAAATGGTCAAATGCAGGTTTAACAACAGAAAAGGTGTATTCATTGCACTTTCTAATCCCTACACTTAAGCGTACAAATGAGCAACCTATAGATGCAATTCCTTTATGGGATGGTATTGGATTTTATAAGCATATTCATCCTACTGTACATCTGTTGTACATTTGAGAGAGTTTGCCTGTCTCTGTGTTTGATCAAAAATTCCTCCTAAATGGTAAAAACTAGGATTTGGATCCTCAAATATGGGATACACCTTACTTTTATCATAACTTAAAACAAGGTAAGGGTTTAGTTGTGCCCAGAAAATGGGATGTGCCTGGAATGGGATTGATTTTCCATAAAACCATACAGAAAAGAGAAAATCACCAGGCAGGTGAAAGCAGATAGCTGGAGATGCCCCCCTTTCCTCCTCCCTCCCCATCCGGGACTTTCCCAGCCCTGAGTCTCCCACCTCTCCAAGCGCCCTTTACAGAGGGCAAGGGGGTTCAAGCACCCTCCTGCCGATTCGTATAGGCTGTTTTCCCTTTGTCTGGAACTGAGGATAAAGTGTGCAGTTTACTGCATTCCACACTCTGGCTGGGGAGAGCAGGGGGCAGTTGAATCTGAAACTGCCCCAGTTGGGGGATATGTGCGCCATCCCTAGCTGTGACCATGAGAGCTGCAGCAGTCATGATGATGTGCTTCTCATCTGGTCCCAAGCTACTGCAATAAGAGAGGTCTGGTGTAGTCCTCTCCCCATGGCAGCTGTCATGCTGAAATCCTCAACCCCAGTCTCTCCTCTCTAGAGCAATGATTCAAATAAAGCATGTACATTTTCTTTTTTTTTTTTATGAGTTAAGGACCCAAGTAATGCTACGTAAATCTTCTAGTGTTCTATATGTGATAATCTAAAAGGAGAAGTTATGTTTAAAAATAATGAACAATGTAATCAAAATAGTTTAATAATTTTTAAAACATTTTTAAGGAAATTAGCCATTGTGAAAGTTGTCAGACATTACAGCCTTGTAACTGATGTGCTCTATTATATACATAACAAGTGCAGGCAGTCCCCGGGTTACGTACAAGATAAGGACTGTAGGTTTGTTCTTAAGTTGAATCTGTATGTAAGTCGGAACTGGCGTCCAGATTCAGCCGCTGCTGAAACTGACCGCCAGTTCTGACTACAGATTCAATTTAAGAACCCCAGGCATCCCCAAGTCAGCTGCTGCTGAAACTGATCAGCGGCTGATTCCAGGAAGCCCGGGGCAGGGGCTTCCTG